TGAGCAAATGTGACAATTCCTATGGATGAAAACGAGGGGATCGGAGGAGATTACCTTAAGGGAGGGGTTGGCTTCGAAATCCACGGTCAAATACTCCGGATTTGCAAGATTTGAGAAGGATTTGAGAGGGGGGAGAGGGGAAGAGAGGAGGGCCGCAAGTCTAAGGGTTTGGGTCGGGTGGGGTGTGTGGGGTGGGGGTGGGAGGGGAGAGAGGGTGGGGCCAGCCCAAGTGAAACACAGACTGTGCAGCGCCCAAGAGCTAGGCGCTGCACATTACAGGTGTGTGACGCATAGCTCTTAGGCGCTGCACAGGTGCGTGTGGGGCCGCAACTGGACCAGGGCTGCCACGCTGGCATGATGTGCGACGCCTAAGGGAAGGGCGCTGCACAGTAGGGTGCGGCGCCCGACTGTCGAGCGCCACACCAAAGGGTCAGCAGAGTGAAATTTTTTCGTGACCAGGTCAGTTTGTGATTTGATTTCTGCCTGAGGTCAGATATGTGATTTCCGCCACAAAATGCGCGCGCGCGTGACATGCATCGTCTGATCGCGGTGACACTTTGCACAAATGTACATGTACCAGGTGTGGTCGTGGCGGTGGAATGCATCGGCGTCGACGGCGGCGGCGCGGGCCCGCGCGTTGCGGCACGGACGGACGGCGGCGGCAACTTCAGCGTGGCCGTGCCGGAGTCGGTCCCGGCCTCGCGGTGCGCCGCGAGGGTCCTCGGCGGCGCGGAGCAGCTCTGCGCGCCGCGGAGGCTCACGGTCGCGCGTGTCGTCGTTGCCGGGCGGCCTGGCTCGTACATGCTGGGATCCCGCCTCGCCGTCTTCACAAGGTGTGGAGGAGTCGTCGCGACGATGTCCGCCGGTGGCGGCGGCGGCCAGACGTCACCCCCGAGGCTTGCTCCACGGTTGCCCTCGCCCAGCCTGCCGCCGCTCCTTGGACGCGCCAGCCCGCCCTACGGCCTGGGCATCCCTCTCATCTACGTCTTCCCTTTCATCCCAATCATTGGCATCCCCTGAATGAACGCAGCCGTACTTTGTTGTTTTCTCTCGGCCAACTCAGTGAGGTCACGTTATGCATGTGTGAACAACGACCAATAATGTGAGAGTATTTGTTCCATAATACGTACAGTGTACGTTATCCCATTCTCTTCCGCTGATTGAGTGCTTTGAATACCAATGAATACCCAAATCTTCTTCTCGTTCTTAAATTCCGCTTCCAAATGCGGACGAGCAATACAACAGACTGGGAACTAGCATGGTGCAAGCTCCGCCGCCACCCAAAATCAAGAAGCAACAAATATACAGCACAACTGCTTCGAGCAGCAGCACATTTAACTCCGAAATTGCATAGTTCAGTTACTAGATTGAGCGTCCACATATGGTTTCAAGTACCAATTCCAGATTATACTTAGTACGTATGAAACATTTAAGTTCACTCAAGCAGCAGCACATTTAACTTCAAAAGGGCATAGTTAAATTACTAAATTGAGTGTGCACATATGGTTTCAAGTTCCGATTCCAGATTACATGAAACATCACATGAGATTTCGAGGTAATTACTCATCCAAGCAGCCTATTCTTGAATATCAGGTCACACTTCCAAGCATACTTCTCCAGAAATTGCGGCAAGATGCCAACCTTATGCACCAGGAGATAATACAACAAATATAACTCTTAATGCAAGAGTCATGGTGTGAACTCACACGGCATCAGCATTGTGCCACCCCTTTGTGCATGGAGGTATCTCCATAAATTCGTCAAACTCCTTGACATGGACATCGCAACACTTCCACTGCAAGAGAAAAACACATGAGGTAAGAATCAGGGTGAATATACATGAACACGAATTTAACGAGAGAAAATACATACCCCTCTATTCCTGTCATGGAAAACCGCAGGGCCTGGATGGTATTCGCATGCAGCATCATGGTTATCCTTCTCCTTGTAGGTTTTACCACATCCTTTATTCTTACAAACCCTAGGCTCGTTTATATTAACAACCTTTTTCTTGGGCTGTGGAACCGAGCATTTCTCGACAGGTTCCGTATTTGTACCATTTACAGCAACTGGTTTTTGTGCCTTGGGCTGTGATCCTAAAAATACATTGATGAATGGTTCATAAACTAAATTTTTCAACAAAAGAAAAAAAATCAACCAATTTTTTGACGTTATGCATAGTCACATTGAAGTGAAGAGTTCAAAGACACAAACTCACCATGGTCGGAGCAAAAGAAACCCTGACGGCACCTGGAGCAGGCCTCGGTTTCCACACCCTGCTTAGAAGACTGGACTGGAGCTAACTTTGGTGGGGTTGCCTTTGAGTTAAGAGAAACAGCTTTTGTGACTGGTTTCTCAGTTGTATGCTTCCCTGTGGCACATCTACACCACGGTAGAGAATGCGGTCAGTTATGTCTAGTTTCCCTAAATATAACAGGTCATGGGTGTTGGTATTTAAAGCAAGGACGGTCTGGTCTAGAATGAGAGAAGGCAATGGTTAAAGCTGGAACATTGATTACGTTATAAAAATAGTACTGTAAGAACCGAGACATAAGGCATCGTTTTCAGGTTTATTTGCCAGCAAATTGGAGCCATATCACTGGAGCTCCCTGAAAAGTGGAATAACTTTCTTTAGGCAATTCAAGGTGATTTAATAGAGGGTGGTGAAGTAGCCAAAGCACTAACATACAAATATCTTCTGTACATTATGCTGCGCTTAATCAGTAAAATGAACCAATAAGATAACTGAGAACCTGTTCAGTCTAAACTCTGAACTGCAAGTATATGTTTATTCGGCCATGTAGCGATGTAGCGCAATGATATTGACTGGGCCAAACAAGTTAAATTACAGTACTTAGCAAAGACCCCATTATAACATGACATTAAGAAGGAAACTGCACTAGACTTCGAGTGAATCCAAATAAGTGCATACAGGGTTCTCCTTATCAGACAGTAGTAGCACCTTACAGAAACAAATAACGTGGATTTAAAAAGGTATGTTGACAAGTGACCCCCTACGTTCAATCAAGCTATAAATTAGACAAGTCTAAGTCCTAGGCAACAAATGAAGAAGGAAATGAGAATGGTTGATCATAGTGCTAATTCCTAGTCGGTGACCAAAGAAATCTCAAACACCCATCTGTTCCATCACAAATCAGCCATAGATGGTGCAAATCTAACTTTCTAATTGCAATGCATGGAGAGCTGGACTCGCTAATAATTTAGATTATTTGCAAACATAATTTGTATCTATGACACCATAACAAGACATACGTAACTATTCTGCCACTGGCTGTCATGGGAGGAGAGAGGATCCTTACCCAGGAATAGCTAAAAATAAGCTAAAATCATGGCTTCTTTGCTTGCAACAGCTCCACTCTTTCATGCCATCATGAAACATAGGCTGAAAATAATATATTAGAGAACCTATGGTTTTATCAAAAACAGAAATAATCCCACAAGGGCAGCAAACGAACTTACTCCCTGCAACAAAACAAAAAAGGGGGAGAGCTGTTAATAGCTAAAAATATGGAAATGGATGCTGTAAATTTGTAATTTTCTGAAACAGTGAAACACTTCACGAAAACAAAAGAAAAGCTAATTGATTCATAACTTATTTTTCCAATATTTAACTATTCAATCTCATATCTATAACTGATATCCTGAACGCGTCTTATTAGTGTACTTTTGAAAATGTTTAAGATCAATTACAGTAGTTCAACTGGTGAATATCACAATCGAACTTGGGATTGCCTACAGAGTAGTGCTTATTGTTGAGCAGTTCTCGTATTTTTTCAAAAGACAAAAACAGAATTATATGAAGATTCCTTGGTGCCAGTTACTTCTTGTGTTGGTATCAAGCATCTGCATCAGTGAAATAGGCGTTTAAATAGCTATTTTTCCTGGAGTAAATTTCGTACAACTACATGTTCAGTGTAGAAACTATCACGAAATTACGAATTTAAATAAACTTCACACGCAGATGTATGGATCCATTGTATAATACAACTAAAGATTTGACCAACTTCAAAAGGAGAATTACTTAAAGATTCCTTTGGCGCCAGTTACTTAATGCATTGGTATCAAACATTGCAGAATAACTAGAGTAACGGTGAAACAAGTGTTTAAAATTGCTATTTTCCTGCAGTAAATTTAGCAAAACTACATGTTCAAAATTACGTATTTAAAGAAACTTCACACACAGATTTATGGACCAATTGTAAAATAAAGCTAAAGATTTGACCAACTTCAAAGAACTGCAGATTTAGAGACCAATTTGGCAATTACACCACAAAACTACATGATGTTTGCTCGAATCTGTAGTTGTATATTTGATCTTCAAACTGTAGCTTAGTGACAGATCGTATATTAAACTTATAGCTTTCTGGAATTCACTCTTTCCTAGCAAATTGCTTTGTAGAGCATAAATGCAAGATCACACTTCAATCATAACATCAAACCAAGCAAAGGTCCCTTCACCCCTTTCCATTTTTGTTTTGTTTAGGGTGCCAAGTTTTTATGTCCTAAAAGGCTAAAATAAATGAGCACGTGACCGAACTCTAAACAAACATAATATAACATGGTCGTCACACATATTGCGCACAAGGCCTCATCAACAGGGAACTTCCAGGTCTGTCTACAACCCACAAAACAATGTTCCCCAAAAGTGCGCCTGCATTTATTTGTAGCCTATTTCGTCAATGCAATCAACCACCGCTTCTCACTGACTGAATAATGCGATTAGCGGGAACATGCTGCCAATTTACCGCCATATCGATTGAATCAATGTTGATGCCAACAACATAATAAGAGTGCATGCTTAGTTGACTGTCTCCAAGATTTGGGTAGATTACACTTTCTACGACAGAGCAGCTATCCCAATTCGCGCTTTCCGTGGACGTAGAGGATCTAAACCCTCGACTCCCAAACTACACCCAGATCCTTAGCATATGAGTCTAACCAAAGCGAGATCCGAGAAGCGAGCTTAGGGGCTACAAGGAAGACATGCACCTCCATGATCTACAGGGGGTCGAGGGAGCGAAACGATGCGATTTTTTCGAGTGGGGGGAGGGGGAGTGAGCTTACGGAGGGGTGGTAGTGGCAGGAGCCGTCGGGGTTGTCGTCGTCGGTGAACATGGCGTCGCAGCCTATTCGCTGGCACCGCATGGGCGCGGGCGCGGGCGCGGCGGCGCTCTTCTCCGTCTCCGCCGACATCGCGATGCGTTTCTCTCTCGCTCTCCCCCTCTCCCGAGATTTCTTCCTTGTCCCGCTCTCGCTCTTGGGTCGACCCTGTTTCGGCGCACGGAACAAAGACGACGGGGGCAGGCTGCAGCAGCCGGCAAGGTATCTCGAGTTTCTCGACTCTTCCGGACCGACCCGGAGACTAACCCCTGGCCGAAGGTGGCTTTGACCCGCAGAAAACCGCTCGCTAGTTGAAGAAATATAGGTATATTCGGAAATATTTTTTTAATTATATCAATTTTGAATTTTTTTTCATATTAATTTGGTTACCGACAAAAGAAAATACCTCCCGAACCCCTATACGTATATGATGGGAGGGGCTTTTCTTTTAACATCAGTACAAACACAAACGCTCATGTACACGCGCATACACTCACCCCGATGAACGCACACACGCACACCCTATCCCTATGAGCATCTCCGAAAGGCTGAGCCGGCATATCATCTCGAGATTTACGAAGTCATCGTAGGCGCCTCGTCGTCGACGGGAACGTCTCCTCCTACTGAATGCGCATCGCCGGAAATTCTGAAATAAATCCAGGAATAAATGCGAGCACCAGGTGTTGGGCAACGTAGTAATTTCAAAATTTTCCTACGCACACGCAAGATCATGATGATGCATAGCAACAAGAGGGGAGAGTGTTGTCCACGTACCTTCGTAGACCGAAAGCGGAAGCGTTAGCACAACGCGGTTGATGTAGTTGTGCGTCTTCACGATCCGACCGATCAAATACCGAACGTGCGGCACCTCCGAGTTCAGCACACGTTCAGCTCGATGACGTCCCACGAACTCCGATCCAGCTGAGCTTTGCGGGAGAGTTTCATCAGCACGACGGCGTGATGACGGTGTTGATGATGCTACCGACGCAGGGCTTCGCCTAAGCACCGTTATGATATTACCGAGGTGGAATATGGTGGAGGGGGGCACCGCACACGGCTAAGAGATTAATTGTTGTATCTAGAGGTGCCCCCGCTGCCCCCGTATATAAAGGATCAAGGGGGAGGGGGCGGCCGGCCAGGAGGAGGGCGCGCCAGGGAGGATTCCTACTCCTACCTGGAGTAGGACTCCCTCTTTTCCTAGTTGGAGTAGGAGGGGGAAAGGAAGGGAGAGAGGAGAGAAAGGAAATGGGGGCACCCCCCCCCCCTTGTCCAATTCGGACTAGAGGGGGAGGAGACGCGCGGCCTGCCCTGGCCACCCCTCCTCTTCTCCACTAGGGCCCATAAAGCCCACTAAATCCCCCGGGGGGTTCCGGTAACCCCCCGGTACTCCGGTGTATGTCTGAAACCTTCCGAAACACTTCCGGTGTCCGAACATAGTCATCCAATATATCGATATTTACGTCTCGACCATTTCGAGACCCCTCTTCATGTCTGTGATCATATTCGGGACTCCGAACTACCTTCGGTACATCAAAACACAAAAACTCAAAATACCGATCGTCACCGAACTTTAAGCGTGCGGACCCTACGGGTTCGAGAACTATGTAGACATGACCGAGACACGTCTCCGGTCAATAACCAATAGCGGAACCTGGATGCTCATATTGACTCCTACATATTCTACGAAGATCTTTATCGGTCAAACCGCATAACAACATACGTTGTTCCCTTTGTCATCGGTATGTTACTTGCCCGAGATTCGATCATCGGTATCTCAATACCTAGTTCAATCTCGTTACCGGCAAGTCTCTTTACTCGTTACGTAATGCATTATCCCTCAACTAAATCATTAGCTACATTGCTTCCAAGGCTTATAGTGATGTGCATTACCGAGAGGGCCCAGAGATACCTCTCTGACGGAGTGACAAATCCTAATCTCGAAATATGCCAACTCAACATGTACCTTCGGAGACACCTGTAGAGCTCCTTTATAATCACCTAGTTACGTTGTGACGTTTGGTAGCACACAAAATGTTCCTCTGGTAAACGGGGGTTGTATAATCTCATAGTCATAGGAACATGTATAAGTCATGAAGAAAGCAATAGCAACATACTAAACGATCAAGTGCTAAGCTAACGGAATGGGTCAAGTCAATCACATCATTCTCCTAATGATGTGATCCCGTTAATCAAATGATAACTCATGTCTATGGCTAGGAAACTAAACCATCTTTGACCAACGAGCTAGTCAAGTAGAGGTATACTAATGACACTATGTTTGTCTATGTATTCACACATGTATTATATTTCCGGTTAATATAATTCTAGCATGAATAATAAACATTTATCATGATATGAGGAAATAAATAATAACTTTATTATTGCCTCTAGGGCATATTTCCTTCAGTCTCCCACTTGCACTAGAGTCAATAATCTAGATTACACAGTAATGATTCTAACACCCATGGAGCCTTGGTGCTGATCATGTTTTGCTCATGGAAGAGGCTTAGTCAACGGGTCTGCAACATTCAGATCCGTATGTATCTTGCAAATCTATATGTCTCCCACCTGGACTTGGTCTCGGATGGAATTGAAGCGTCTCTTGACGTGATTGGTTCTCTTGTGAAATCTGGATTCCTTTGCCAAGGCAATTGCACCAGTATTGTCACAAAAGATTTTCATTGGACCCGATGCACTAGGTATGACACCTAGATCGGATATGAACTCCTTCATCCAGACTCCTTAATTTGATGCTTCCGAAGCAGCTATGTACTTTGCTTCACATGTAGATCCCGCCACGACGCTTTGTTTGGAACTGCACCAACTGACAGCTCCACCATTCAATATAAACACGTATCCGGTTTGCGATTTAGAATCGTCCGGGTCAGTGTCAAAGCTTGCATCGACGTAACCATTTACGACTAGCTCTTTGTCACCTCCATAAACGAGAAACATATCCTTAGTCCTTTTCAAGTATTTCAGGATATTCTTGACCGTTGTTCAGTGATTCACTCCTGGATTACTTTGGTACCTCCATGCTAAGCTAATAGCTAGGCACACATCAGGTCTGGTACACAGCATTGCATACATGATAGAGCCTATGGCTGAAGCATAGGGAACATCTTTCATTTTCTCTCTATCTTCTAAAGTGGTCGGGCATTGAGTCTGACTCAACTTCACACCTTGTAATACAGGCAAGAACCCTTTCTTTGCTTGATCCATTTTGAACTTTTTTAAAACTTTATCAAGGTATGTGCTTTGTGAAAGTCCAACTAAGCGTCTTGATCTATCTCTATAGATCTTGATGCCCAATATATAAGCAGCTTCACCGATGTCTTTCATTGAAAAACTTTTATTCAAGTATCCTTTTATGCTATCCAGAATCAACAATATGCCGTCTACATATAATATTAGAAATGCTACAGAGCTCCCACTCACTTTCTTGTAAATAGAGGCTTCTCCAAAAGTTTGTATAAAACCATATGCTTTAATCATATTATCAAAGCGTTTATTCCAACTCCGAGAGGCTTGCACCAGTCCATAAATGGATCGTTGGAGCTTGCACACTTTGTTAGCACCTTTTGGATCGACAAAATCTTCTGGTTGAATCATATACAACTCTTCTTTTAGAAATCCATTTAGGAATGCAATTTTGACATCCATTTGCCATATTTCATAATCATAAAATGCGGCAATTGCTAACATGATTCGGACAGACTTAAGCATCGCTACGGGTGAGAAAGTCTCATCGTAGTCAACCTCTTGAACTTGTCGAAAACCTTTCGCAATAAGTCGAGCTTTGTAGACAGTAACATTACCATCAGCGTCAGTCTTCTTCTTGAAGATCCATTTATTCTCAATGACTTGCCGATCATCGCACTAGTAGAAAAAGGACCTAATATGTGAAACATTAGTACCGGTTGGCATATGAGCCGGCACAAGTGAATGTTTCTTCTTTAAGCTAGTAGTGCTGGTGGTGATTTTTTATGGCGCTGCTAGAAGGAGGGCGTGAGAGGGCCGGCCGGGGGCCTTTCTGCCCACGGCCGGGCAAGAGGAAAGGGATTTCCTTCTTAATTCTTGCTTGATTAGATTGATACATCTCCTCTCTTTATATAGAGAGGTTTACTTGACTCCCAAGCAAGGCTTACTTGACCCCTAAGCAAACGACCCATATCTCTAATTAACCCTAAGACTAATGAGCCTATTACGTACTCTAACACTACACCCCACCTGGACATGCAGCTTGTCCTCGAGCTGCAGCCTAACCAACTTATAACCATGACTCGACGCAACACAAACCTAACACCTAAAAACAAGCCTTTTACATCTCGGCTTCTTTTATTATTCTCAACCTGAAATGGACTGGGACGCTTTATTTTGGACCCCTTAACAAAAAGTGGACACCATCCGCACGTCGGACGTGCACGTGTACAGCCACCTGGATCCCATGGACACCACCTGGACCAAAGGAGTGCATGTGTACTGCCACCTGGAAGTGGTCACAAGAGCGACCAGCAGAGGCGCCCTCGCGGCGGCCGGCGGCGGAAAGCAGTGGTGCTACGCGGTGCGCTCCTGTCGGTGACACCCTGGCTTTTCCCCGCCGGACTGCTATTGGTCTGCACATCACAGGAAAGAGTGGAGGGCTTGTGATGGAGACTGACGAGGAAGGGTGCGCCTCCCCACCCGCCGATGTCGCAGACTTTGAGGACGCTGCCCGCGGGGAAAACAGCATGCCCGCCGTCCGTGGGGGAAACCGCATGCCCAAGATCCCCGACGCAGCGGACGAGATTGAGGTCCTTTGCGCAGCAAAGGGCAACTTGAAGGAGCGGCAGCTGCAGACCACGCATCTCCCGCACACGCCGACGCGCTAGGAGGCCGCGTGCAGCAGCCTGCAGCCTCACCGCCGCCGACACGTGGCGGGTAGCGATCCAAGACGGAAGCGGTGACGGCGACGGTGGGGACTTGATCTGCTGGATGTGGACGCCCTGGGATGGCGGCGGCGCTGATGGGAACGAGGTCGTCGCACTCCCGTCGTAGGGCATCCCATACTGGGCTGCGGAGCTGACCGGCGGTGGCTGCTGCAGCTGCAGCGG